ACATGGGCTGTGGCTTCCCTGCAGACCACGGGGTCTTGGGCCTGCCTGGGTGCAGGGGGCTCTCGGCCCCAGAGCACCTGCCCCCTACGGCCACCTACGAGTCTCCGAAGAAAAACTTCTGGGAGCCGAGGCGCTGGGACAGGAGTGTCAGGCATTCCCGAGCATCCCGGTAGAGCTGGAGAAGGAGGACAGAGGGTTGTCACCCACCCAGCCAGGCGGCAGACTGCCATGCTGCTAAGGGGAGTGGGAAGGAGGCGCTCAGCCAGGGTGAACCCTGGACCCCAATTAAGATTTTGGCCTCGCGTGGGTCCCCCCTGGGCACCGGCTGAGGACCTCCCGTGCCCAGACCACATCCCCTCACCTCCTTCTCCAGCTTCTCCTCATCCTCCATGTAGCCATCTCCCCACATCAGCTGCAGCCGCTCCAGGTGCTGCTTGTGCATGCAGTTGGGCAGGAAGAAGTTCAGGGGGAAGGGAATGGTTTCCGCGTACCACTTCCGCGTGTGCTCCACGTAGTTCTTCGCGTCCACCCAGAAGGTGTGGATCTGCAGCGGAGAACAATCCGTGCCCAGACCACGGTGGGGCTGGAGCCACCGCAGCTTTTTGCCTGTGTGAGCCTGTTGCCCGGCTGCCCCAGAGACCGCGAGGGGCTGAGGGAGCATCAGGGTCAAGGCCAGACCCCAGCCCTGGCTGCACAACCCACTGCTGCCACACCAGACCCCCCAGCACCTTGGTCCCTGCTCCTGATGCTCTGAGCCACCGGGATTTTGCTGCCTGCCACGTTCTCTGGCTCTCCTGGCCGGTGGGCGCGCAGCTGAGCCCACTGGCATCGCTCCAGGGAGCAGATCCAGTCCTCGGCAAGACCACCTTATCCCATAACCCCCCGAGATGTTTCCACAAGAAGACTCACCAGCACTGGCAGCAGTTTTTCTTCCAGCAGGGACACGAAGGCCAGCGTGTCCGCTGTAGCCGAGAGGTCGTAGTCGGCGTTGTACTTCTGCAGAGCAAACGTGACGGGCGTGATCCGGCAGGGAAGCGGCAAATCTTGCCCGTGACTCTTTGGCAACCGCCACAAAGCTGCGTGAGGTGCCCTCCAGCCCCCAGCCCGGAGCAGGGGGTGCCCTGCGCTACCTGTTTCCTGAGATGAGTTATGATCTGCTGCGTTTTGGAGATGGTGCCCTCGTCCCGCGTCTTCAGCGCAGGCAGGCGCCCTGAGGGCAGGGAGAGCGACGGCTGCAGGCAA